ACGGGTTGAACAAGGTTTCTAGGACCTTTTCCCGGGTGATCCTTATATGAAATGTGACACTTTTGTGTCACCGGGTATTTATCGCTTTATGTGATATCTGGTGGAGTTGAACATTGTCCATCATCAATGCATCACCATGTATTGCTCTTGTTTGAGATTATCTTTTTGCAAATGAAAACAGGAAATGACAAACCTGCATTGAGCAGTTGAGTACCAAACTAAAAACTGTATGTTGTTTTGTATTTGACTTCATGTACCAATATTTCCATATTATTTATCTAATACAAGAAAATTATGACTAAAAGTGACCCCTTAATTATCGTTAATGCAAGGACACTAGTTCTATGATCTGAAAGTCACTTCATGAATGTGAGGAAAAAAATTTTATTGGAACAAAATGTGTTATTTACTTGTTCTACACAGCTGGACTTGTAATAGCTTAGTTGGGTTACCATCATTGCACTCCGGACATGTCCATAGGTGCTCAGATCCTCCCCTCAGTATGAACCCCAACATCTGATTGCTAATAGTACCAGTTCTATGTTGATTAACAAGTCTTCTGGTGTGCTTCTCGTTTTTTTTCTATCTTAATTCCCAAGTCTGCCATTCTGGCGAGTGATGTGGATTCACTGCCCCTAAAGTCCTCTATCCTTCCCATTTCTCTGAGGGCAGTAATATCAGCATGATCCATAGGCTGACCGTTGGTAGTGATAGCGGACCCAGCCAATCTATCAGCTCTTTCATTTCCATCGACGCCTACATATCCCGGAAAATAAAGGCTGTAAAAGCTGTTCTGTATTATGCACACACACAAAAAAGTATTAAACATGTGATATCAGGGTGCAAACATGTGACATCAGGGTGCAAACATGTGACATCAGGGTGCAAACATGTGACATCAGGGTGCAAACATGTGACATCAGAGTGCAAACATGTGACATCAGGGTGCAAACATGTGACATCAGGGTGCAAACAAAGATGATGAAATCATAGGGACAGTTCAAAGGTGACCATCCCACTGCTGACATGCACCAAAAGAGAAACCACGTTCTGTTATTCAGTTTGTATGTGTGTGGATTAGTGAAGGGATGAAACCTATAGAAATTCCAGCAAGTGTACAAGTGGAGTAGAGTCCAACAAGTGTATGAGTGGAGTAGAGTCCAACAAGTGTATGAGTGGAGTAGAGCCCAACAAGTGTATGAGTGGCGTAGAGTCCAACAAGTGTATGAGTGGAGTAGAGTCCAACAAGTGTATGAGTGGCGTAGAGCCCAACAAGTGTATACGCAGAATAGAGTCCAACAAGTGTATGAGTGGAGTAGAGTCCAACAAGTGTATGAGTGGAGTAGAGTCCAACATGTGTATGAGTGGAGTAGAGTCCAACAAGTGTATAAGCAGAGTAGAGTCCAACAAGTGTATCGGCAGAGCTCAACAAGTGTATGAGTGGAGTAGAGTCCAACAAGTGTATGAGTGGAGTAGAGTCCAACATGTGTATGAGTGGAGTAGAGTCCAACAAGTGTATAAGCAGAGTAGAGTCCAACAAGTGTATCGGCAGAGCTCAACAAGTGTATGAGTGGAGTAAAATCCAACAAGTGTATGGGCAGAGCCCAACAAGTGTATAAGTGGAGTAGAGTTCAATAAGTGTATGAGTGGAGTAGAGTCCAACAAGTGTATGAGTGGAGTAGAGTCCAACAAGTGTATGAGTGGAGTAGAGTCCAACAAGTGTATGAGTGGAGTAGAGTCCAACAAGTGTATGAGTGGAGTAGAGTCCAACATGTGTATGAGTGGAGTAGAGTCCAACATGTGTATGAGTGGAGTAGAGTCCAACAAGTGTATAAGCAGAGTAGAGTCCAACAAGTGTATGAGTGGAGTAGAGTCCAACAAGTGTATGAGTGGAGTAGAGTCCAACAAGTGTGTAAGCAGAGTAGAGTCCAACAAGTGTATAAGCAGAGTAGAGTCCAACAAGTGTATCGGCAGAACTCAACAAGTGTATGAGTGGAGTAAAATCCAACAAGTGTATGGGCAGAGCCCAACAAGTGTATAAGTGGAGTAGAGTTCAACAAGTGTATGAGTGGAGTAGAGTCCAACAACTGTATGAGTGGCGTAGAGTCCAACAACTGTATGAGTGGCGTAGAGTCCAACAAGTGTATAAGCAGAATAGTCCAATAAGTGTACAAGTGGAGTAGTCCAACAAGTGTATGAGTGGAGTAGAGTCTAACAAGTGTATGAGTGGAGTAGAGTTTAACAAGTGTATGAGTGGAGTAGGAAGTTTCAAAATGGTGTTGACTTCGATGACAGACTGTTCACCACCAGTCAAAACACAGAGTAGTGGCTCCAAAGTCGATGGCAGCATTTGAAGGCCTTTTTCAGGAAACCCGCTGAATCTCTGCGACTATAGATTTGACCCATTTGCGGACTGGAAAAAAAAAACCATATAAAAGAATGCTGTTCCCCATTACACAAGCGTGTAATGTTAGACTTTTTTTTAAAGAAGTCCTTGTTTGTGAAGTTCATCATGGTCAGTGAATTATTTTCTAATTTAAAAAAAATTATTTAGAAGGGATACAATTTTTATGTGATTTTTCTATACTAAATGATAAGGAAAAAGGTCTGGAACTGTTCATACTGCTCTGTCAATGAATTTCTGCCAGATGGTGACAAGTCTTGATGTTATGATAGATATCTAATAGACAAACCTATTGGCGATAATTTAGTTTAGGATATAAAAATTGGACAAAATATTTTAATCAGATCAATGTTTCGATGAGCTGTTTTCCTGATCTTCGGTTGTTGTGAAATTTGACATGTCATACAAAAATGATCATAACATCCAAAGTATTCAAAACTGTTTTAAATAAAGACTAGCTGACACATAATTGAACAGAAAAGATATGTGCATTCCTAGAATTAGATAGCAGTGTTGTTGAACAAGTAAATAAGTCAATAATTTTCATGTGTGTCTAACATCCTTGAATGTTGTGTGATTTTAATATTTTATTATGATACCAACATTTAAATAGTTTTGATTTATTCTGCACTCATTTATCTTTAATTTTACATATATGTTCTTCAGGTAAGTTTTAGGTTTGTTGTGTTGCAGTAAAAAAAATTCCGCTCAAAATTAATGCTGTCCAAACCCCAGAAAAAAATTTGGTCCTGAAAAAGTTTAGCTTGGTCAACATGGAAGTCAAGCTCAGAGTACAAGTGTTAGTAGAAAAATTGGAAATAAAAGTGTTATAAGATAGGCATTGTAAAGTTGTGAAATCAAGAGTTAAAAGATAAGCTTTTTGAAGTTGTCAAAACAAAACAGAAATGTTGCTGTAAGATGAAAGGGAAAATAGAAATTACTCAAATATAATAGTCAGCAGACTTAAAATTGGCCTATGAGTGAAAGGATGTTGTAAGGACCACCACAAGGAGAATGGGGCAATGGTCATGTGATAAGAGAATTCTTGTATAAAGAACATTAGGATCCCAAAGTATCTGTAAATGTTTACTTAAGCGCCCTGCAAAGAAATCACAACAATTTCTTGCACACACTTCTAACCAGAAAATATGATGAACGACTGGACAACTTGTAAGTTTTAATCAAATATAATTTTAATGAACCTCAAGGTCAGAACAGGTTGATTGTGCAGTGGAAGTACTTCTTTGCGTTCACCGGTTCTAAGATCTTGTGGAAAGTTCTGGTTGTTCATTCACTTCTGGACTTTTGATCTTGCTCCAGAACTGTGGTTTCACACCAGGACAGACACAGTCTCTCACAGAAGTCATCCTATCGTTCTTCTTCCCTCCCCTGCATCTCACTTTTGTGTGTCATAACCTCTGGTCTGGATATAGCTATGCAGCTCATTACATGAGAACCCAATCTACTAACTCATGTAATTCGACCACGCATCTAGTACTACACAAGTTCTTACATATCATGTAAAGAGGCATAAGATCTCTCTACAGAGTATAATTTTATCTTCTCTATACCCTGTTCTGCCTTTCAGCATCCAGGCTGGAAAAGGCATCTGGTGCCATCCTTAGGGTATAATTAAGTAAAGGACCCTTTTCCACACCTTTAGGCGTATAGGGCTAGACCTATATTTTATAGACCAATTGGCACAAGATGGATGATGTGGTCAGCATCATGTCAGCCACCTTTACTTCCTGGGACTTCTGATTCGCGGCGAGCATCTATCCGCTTTGCTACGGGAATCCCAACCTTAGGGTATGCTGGGTAAATGCTATTATACACAGCCTCAGATATTTCATTTATTCATTACTTGCAAGGGCAAGCTCTAGTTCTGATTTCTTTGTATCCGACAGGGCCCTCTGTGGAGCACTGTCCTTTAGCAGACTTGACTCATGTCCGAACCATTTAAGCTATTGTCTCTTGATGTAGTTTAGCACTGGTCCTGTACCCATTTGTTTCTTGATATTGTCACTTCTGATCTCGTCTCTTCTTATTACATTTAGAATTTATCATAGAAGAAATCAAAAAATATTTTGAATTTTCTTGTTTCTTTTGTTCTAAATGTCAGGGTTTGGAACTGGTAACACAATGGTGGTAAAAATACTGTTTCAGCATCATCTTATGCCCTTTATTCCCCAATGGAACACGTCTTCAACCAACTCTCCCAAGTCATTCTATCATTTGCTACTGCATGCAGCTCACCTCCTGTTCTCATCTTTTCCACTTCAATCTCCAATTCCCTTCATTATGTGTTTTCGGTCTGCCATATTTGTGATGACTGACAATCCACTCAGAGGCTATAATGAAGTTTCCATTCTTCACAATAGCTAAGCACATGTGAACTGTACATAATTTCATTTGTTTAAATTGTAAACCACTCTCAGACTTGAAACAGGTTAAACTTTTCTAGGAATAGGTCTGGTCATTTATTCCTAAACACATGTTTTTAAAAAATTACATTCCTCAATGTATCATATTTTATGTACAAAAAAAAGATGTTGCAGTGTCCACTCCCCGCTCCCAATGAGTAGTCTTGTTTCTCTCAAATAAAGTGAAAGCCAGATTTATTGAATAGAGTCAGCAGCCTGTTTTAAGAGAGAAAAAAAGTATATAACAGTCATCTTCATCAACAGGTACAGCACTAGTAAACATAAATCCCAATCATAAACTATCCCCAGATTTTCAGATCTGTGTTCTGTTTATTATTAATAACACATAGCAATGGTTTCAGAAAATCTGTGTGGGCAGTCTGTCCATATTGCTGCTGACAGATCTTGGAGTAAAGATGAAGACAACCAGGTAAGAGAGGTACACCAGATATATGGAGAAGGCTTGTCACCCAGCACAGAACTGGTACTACTAGCTGTAGGATGTTGATGTATGAGCACTAACAGATGTGTCTAGAGTGCCACGAGGATAACAAACTGATAACAAAATAAACTTTCTCCTCTTTTTTTCCTCCCCAAATTTTGTTTAGTGATTTCCAAATCAGGTTAGGGGTGTTTGCTGGACAACAGCTGTCACGTGGGCTGCATCTAGGTATCTAGCAACTGTATCTAATAAAACCTAAAAGCATAAAATTAAATTATATTCAACATCTTTCAACGAAACAGAAAAATTTTTGCTGAAGCCATCAATATCATACTGAAGCATATCTACATTTAAAGGCCAGTTTAGTTTCGTAAAGTAATGGTAACATTTTAACACTCATCTGTTTTACATGTGATCATAAAATAAGTGGAATGAAATAAAAGAGAATACAAGTATAATGGATTATCACTGCAGTGTCAGTAACTTACAGTAGTAACTACCTGGCAAGAATCTTCTTATTCTTGTTCACCAGTTGTAGATTCTGACAGAAAGTTCTAGTAGTTGTCCATTCCTGAACTTTAGTCTTGTCTATAGAATTGGAGCTTTTGAGCTGAAATGCTAGATTCTCAGAATATCTTTGACAAAGAAGAGGAGAATTACTGACATCTTGAAAGATCTGAACATCAAGGAAGATTGGCTAATTAAACAGCATCTTGTCTTAGAAGCTGAAAATTTTGTGGTCATATTAAGCGCCACAATAGAATGGAAATAATAAAAGCAGAGGGCATGGTACCAGAAAGGAGGGGCAGGGGCCGACCAACACGAAGACAGGCACAGGATATAAGTGACTCAATGAGTATGAAAGTACACGAGGCAGGAGAGTTGGCAGACCGTGATGAGAGCAATGTTCTGCAAAGGACTTGCTAAATGATGATGATGATGTCTTGTTCCACAACCTGAGTTTTAGGTGCACATACATTCGACAGATCTGACTATTCTGAGCAGACTGTTGATTCCTCACCTCTCAGGCAGAGGTACTGTGACAATGAAGAAAACACCAGTAATTAATCAAAGGGGTTTGGGTAAATTCCCGCCTCCCCCAATATGACACTAGAACCCACACATGTAGACAAGACAAGAATCAAAGTCATCTACTGACATTTTATACTCACTCCATAAAATCATCTATTGACATGCTTCGAGACCGCCTATCCTCAAAACCTCCCTCCTGCAGCAGACCCATCACTTTTTCTTTTGAATTGAAATCAGGTGGCACAGGCTGAAAAATATATATGAAATTTTACATACTCATGAAAATCAACACATAACATATGGTGTTCATTATTACTTTAAATTCACCAAAAGTCAACCACACACATATATACTCTTAAAAAAGTGTGTGTGAAAGAGAGAGAGGGTGAAAGAGAGAGAGGGAGAGAAAGAGAGAGAGGGAAAGAGAGAGAGAGAGAAAGAGAGACGGGGGGGGGGGGGGGGGGTCTATATCACCAAAATTTTTACTTAACACACAAAACAAAATAACTTACTATATTCTTCACAGAACAAGAAACTCTGTAGTTCTTTTCCAGCACTTCCAATACTTTGGAAAATCTATGAAAATTAAAATGTCATAAAAGGTCAGTTATTTTTGATAACAATGCTGATGAATTCTCTACTCTTGACAACTCTACGACATTTTTTTAAAATGTAGGTCCTACAGCAGTTCTTGCGGCCCATAAAAAAGAGTTGGTAACTTTTGGAGATGTATGTAGAAGCTTTTCCATGGCATTTGAATGTACAGGGTTCAGAGCAATTGAAGAGAAGGTGGTTTCAAAAAGTGGTTAAAACAATGCCTGTACACGGGTGACTATAAGAATTCATACTGGTTATACAGCAGTTGACTCTAGTATACCCCATTAACCATTAGGGGACGACTGGGCTGATCTGTCTGCCCAACAGCAAAATGGCCAAAAGAGACGGCTGGTCTGATCTGTCGGTCCGGTAATATGAGCCTTAAGATTGATTGGCTAGTCTTCACACCATTGTAAAATCAGATTGTTTTTTGCATTTCTTGCACCTCTGCGCTGTTCAATGGCGGCTTTCGTGAAAGTTTGTTGTGTTCTAATTTGTACATCAGCTTTTTCTTGGGTGTTACCTGTGCCTAACAATGGTGAAAAGGTCTGTTGCATCAGAGCTAACCAAAACATAGAAGAGGCATGAAAAGGAGTAGAACTATGTGCCAGATGTGTCTGGAGTTCCTCCATTGTCTTGTTTCCCAAAACACAAGTGTTAGAAAAAGTTTTCCAAATTGTAAAAAGTTTGTCAAAAAAAAAAAAGGCAAGAAAAAAAAAAAGAGCATGAATAAATGCAAAATCAGCATATCTGCATAGCTAATTGGAATAAATGTTGACCCATCACTGAATTTCAGCTTTTTTCATAAAGATTGTGTTAGTTCATTCAATTTCCTACAAGAATATATTTAGTTTTACACATGTTAATTAAATGAATTATTTTTCATAATTCTGAGGTGCAAATTCTTGGCACCGAATTCCAAATAAGGTAAGGCTCCGTTTCCAAAGGGTTCAGACCAAAGTTTAGACTGGTTTCTTGCTTCACTGGATGTCCAAATTTTAGGTGGAGCTCCCTGTGAACAAGTTTAGTTCACTGTTACAAAGTTTATTTTTTTCAGCTATGCTGCTTTTAGTTGGTTCGTGACGATCGCTTGAGACAATTTCCACACTGCAAGATCTGTTTGTTTAGTGTTTTGATTGGTAACAGTTTTGGTAACAGTAGCTATGGCCTCACAGTATAGGCAGTTTTTTTCTGCAGGAATCACTCAGAAAGTCCAAATGCTGAACCATTCCTGTATGGCTGGATTGACAATGCTAGGTACAGTTTATGGCAGCAGCTGCAATGTCTAGAAACTTCCTTGTCGACCGAAGGCCTTGGGTTCAAAGCTGCATCTAGCAGATTATAAAAAAATGAGCACAGCTCTCTGTCAACCCAGCCTACGTGGGCACCATGTAATTTGCTGGGAAGTAAAGGTGGCTAGCATGATGACCACATCACCTACTGAGTGCTAACTGGTCTATTAAAAAATGTCTGGCACCATCTGATACACAATGGATGCAAACAAGGTCCTTTACTCGACAGGCAGGTTCAATAAAATAAGGAATATTTAGATATTTTCTAGTCTTATGAGAAGTTTTTTTTTTTTTTTAAACTAAATCTTCATCATCATTTGTGTGACATTAGATGTCACATAGGGCTCGCATTCGATTCCTTTACTTCGCTCTATTGCATGCAATTTTCTTTATTTCTGACACTGAGTTCAGCCTAACGTTTTTAGCTTCTCGTAATAATGTTCATCTTAATGTTTCCCTTGGACGTCCCCTTTTTGTTTCTCTCACAGGCTTTGTTTCCCATTTCAGTGCTGCTTTGTAATTCTCTGCTCATTTCGACTCAGGTGTCTCATATTTTCCATCTGTATTCTCCTGTTAATTAAACAATATCTTTGGTGAATTTATGTGATTTATTCTAAACACATTGTTAGTATCTGGACATTATTTTTTTTAAATATCTGAAACTGAAAATAATTTGGCCGCATTCAATGGAGTTTTTCAATGAACAGTAACAGTAGATATGGTTCCTGGAAGAAGAGACAGTGACTGTTCAGCAAGACATCACAGCTATAGTTTGTGTGATGGCTGTAGTCCTGTCTATCCACAATCTTCTGTCTCGTGTACTTTGATGACACAGATGATCTTTCATGCCATAATGTCAAACCTCTGTTCTTTTCAATTCCAACTTTTTGACTGTCGTCATGTACTCATTTTTTTCCTTCTCAGGACATGGTCAAATAATGCAGATATTCTCCTTTTGATGTGGGCAATCAGTTCTCTTTGAGAATCAATTTTTCTAAGGCATCTTCATTACTCTTTTTTATCTGTCCAAGGTGTTCTCATTATCCATCTATAAAACCCTGTCTCAATCACCTACACACAACTTTTCCCTAATCGGCCAAATGTCCACAATTAACTTATATCAATAAGATTATCAGCATAAAAGTTCATGAGGCAGGACTGTTGACAAGAAACTTAACAGATTTTGGGTACATGGTAATGAGAGTGATGTTTTGCAAAGAGCTTACTACATGAAGTCAAGACGCTTCTTCAACTTCCCCCACATAATTCTGTAACAACTGTTATATATATTCAACAAAATTTTAGACTTTTCAAAATAATTGTTACTGAATGAACATACTTCTAGTTAATTTTATTGGTTATTTAAATATACACCCACATTTTTTTTGCTAAAATAAACAGTGCAATTTCAATCTCTGGTTATCAATTATGGCGTGATTTCAGAGCAAACAGTTTTTTTTTTTTCAGTAAAGATATCAACTTCCAGTAAATATTTCATGTAAAAAAAAAATTTGTGTATAAACAATAAACTATGGAATTGTAGAAAACTAAAAAAAAAAGATTACTTGAAAGAAGCTCCAATGGTTTTATTTTTTCTTGAGAAACAAATTCTCACAAGACCATCCCATTCCTGAAAATAAAGGGGAAATTAAACAGTGTATTAACTTTCAAATAACATGTACGGTATGGGAGTAATAAGTAATAATTTTTTTAAGGACAGCAAACACTTCAAACCAATGCACAGGAGATCTGTAAGTAAAACTGCAAATGAACAATTGTTAGCTGGTTAAAAATTGCAGTTTTGCTACACCCAGCAATTATTTCCAGAGATCTCTGTAAAACAGCACTTGTGAACCAAACATCACAGTTCACGACCAACAACTTTTAAAGCACTAAGGAAACGGCTTTACCACTTTGCCATAGGACCCCAGTTTTAAAACAACAGACCGTAATTTATCTGATCAAGTTATTTTTGTGTGCTGGTTGCTTAATAGAGAAAATAAGGCTGCAATGTAACAATCTTCTGCCTCTTCTTCATTTTCATCATTTGTAAACTACAACAGAGAGTCGTCCACTTCTGGGTTTTTAAAAAAAATTGAGCACCAGGAAATGTCCTGGGAAGTAAATCCAGTCAGCGTGATGTTAACAACACTACCCATCAAGGGCCAACTGGTTTATAAAAATAAAAGTCTAGCATCATATATCCACTGCACCACTTGTGTAAACACAGGTCTTTAAATCTCTATTGTCTTTTTTCAGGCTTTTCTCTTTAGGACAGCGGTTCTCAACTTGTGGGGGGCAACCCCTTTGGAGGTTATACAACCTTTTCATGGGGGTCACCTAAGACCATTGGTAAACATATTCACTGAAAGTTACGAAGCAGCAACGAAAATAATTTTATGGTTGGGGGTCACCACAACATAAGGAACTGTATTAAAGGGTCATTTCATTAGGAAGGTTGAGAACCACTATTTTAGAGGATGTCTTGCTTTAAAAATCACTAACTTACACTGAAATGTACCTACACGCATTATGAAAACAACTAGACTGACAGAAATGAATACCACAGACACCACCCATTGCCCGCTTTTCACTAATGAACACACAGACTAAGAGAAATCTGACAAATTCTGGACAGCAGAAAAAGATAAACTGTAGTTACAAGCATCTTACCTTAAAATTCACAGGTGGTGGAGGGTTACGAGGCTCAATTCTAACTACACTGGATTCAACTTTGGGAGGAGGCTTGAAATTGTTTTTGCCAACCTAAATAATGCAGAGAAAAATACATTTATCTTAGTGTTTATATAAAACAGAACAAAATAACAAATAAAAAGTTTAATAAATCTGTAGACGTATATATATACATCAGTAGAAAAACAAAACTGAAAAAAAAAAATTTATAAGGTGGGTGATTCTGGATCATGCAGCTTTCTTCTATCCCCACATCCCAATGGAGCATAGGCCCTCACCAAGCTCATGCCAAGCTGTTCTATCCTTTGCTATTGCATGCAGCTCACCCCATGACCTCCCTATCTTGTTGACTTTACTCTCTAGCTCTTTTTTTCTATGCATTTTTTTGGTTAGCAATTTCTAGGCTCCTGTGGGTTCCAGTGCAAAGAAATTCTATTTATACTGTTCTCACTTTTCTCAGTGTGTCTAATCCAACACCTGCATCTTTTCTTCACCTCTTAATCCACTGGAACCTGCACTAAGTTATCTCCCAGAAGAATGCAGAAAAAAGAAGAAGTATTATGTGCATTTTTTTAAAAACTCCTGAGCAGTACTTGGGATTTTTCTTTTTGCCCTACTCTTTTTAATCACATTTTGTGGGGAGGGGTGTCCTGCAATATACTCTAGGGGGGGGGCCTTACCTGAAAAAGGTTAGAGATCACTGGTCTAGACACTACACCAGGACATCCCAGCAGCAGTTCAAATGTATTGTCAAAAACTCAAAGAATCAATGACATGCTTCCCCTTCAGTCCCCATTAGGAATTACGGAATCCTTGCTAGGACCATCGCCACATGTGACTGTTTCAATTGAGGGTTTACAGTCAAGGGGGATCAACTTCTCTGCGCCATATTTTATCGTTTAAGGCCGGACTCTTTCTGCAGAATGGCTAGTCATCTGCTTAGAGCCTCACACAAAAAATACTCCATAACTCCAATGATCCCCATTAAAAACTGCAATCACCAATCAAGAGATACAACCATGAAAGAAACCCCTGACTTTCAGAGTATGAGGCAAATGGCCTGAACATTTTGCCACTAAAACCATTAAAGTTAATATTTTCTTGGTGTTCACTTGCTGCAAAATTCTGGTTGTTTATCCATTTCTGGACTTTGGTGGTTGTGTTCCAGAACTAGAGTTTTGCATACACATGAGTTTGACAAATCTGTCTTTAACTATATGCAGATTGCTGGTTTCGTCGCCTCTCAGGTAGATATATTCCGACTGCAAAGGGATGTCCCTAATTGGTTGCTTTCAGCGACATGCCTCTTATGGGCGCAGTTGGTCTAGTCTCTCCCTCCCTCTAAAAATTGGGCCCCAGAATGCACAAAGGAAGAAGGGTTGTGTTCCAGAACTAGAGTTTTGCATGCACATGAGTTTGACTAATCTGTCTTAACTATATGCTGACTGCTGGTTCATCGCCTCTCAGGTAGATATATTCCGACTGCAAAGGGACGTCCCTAATTAGTCACTTCCAGCGACATACTTGTTATGGGGGCAGCTGGTCTAGTCTCTCCTTCCTTTTAAAAATGGGGCCCCAGAACGAACAAAGGAAGAAGTTAATGATAAAATCAGATACCCATTGTAGCAAACAAATATGTTACCTTTATCAGATGGTCCACCCTAGCCAAAAGCTGTGTATTTACTGACAGTCGACAGTATAATTTATCGCCAGGTTGAGCAACCAGCCTCTGTGCAAACTCTCTCTGGAACATCAAGACTGCACACCTGTTAGAGACAAATTATAACAAAAATAGTACACTCTTAAGTTATCATTTAACACAAATAAATGAACTTTAAACTAAGTCGGCACATTGTCGCGCCTTTCTGTCTTTCCAGATGAGAGTGTTATATTGTGCTATAGCAGTGATTCCAACTTGAAATGCGCAAGATCACAGCTACAGTGTAAAAAAAAAAAGTAAAGATCCCTGTCTACGCCTTTAGGCGTATCGGGCACATGGGAATAGCGCCCCATATTTTTACAGACCATCAGCACCCCGTGGGTAATGTGGTCATCATTACGCCAGCCGTCTCTACTTTCCAAGGACAGCCCATCCTGGTACCCATTTTAGGCTGGGTCGACCTGCGACGCCCCATACCATGATAAAAACCCACGCAGCCAGCAGTGGGTTTAGTTCGCGGTACGCTGGATTACGAGTCGGACTCGCAACGCCATAGCCACGGACTCCGCTAGCTACACTGTAAACGTGCATAAAACATCTACCTCACTGGGACAAACAATGAAGAATTTCTCAGTTCTTAGCCCATTTATTTTTACCGTACAGACCATATCATTAAAACCAATAAGAAATGCACAAATATGTTTAGGTATACAGCATACACAGTTTATATGGCATAATTTAACACACACTCACACAAAAACGACAAACAAATCTCACCTGAAAAAAGGTCTGTGAAGAAGTAACTTGAATACAAAAGGAGACGAAATCTAGTAAAGGAAAAAAAACACAGCTATCAAGGTTGTCAAGGAGAAACCTTTTTAAGTAAAAAAAAACTTTGACAATCTACATTTCAGTACTAAATAAATTATATTTTGCAGTTCACTATTTAAAATGTTATGTAAGTGCTACATAAGCACTAATCACAAGGTTCAGGGACTACATTTTCTTGAAAATGTAGATCTACTGGTTGGTTAGTGGGTGTTAACTAACTAATTGGTAATTTGGAAAAGCTGCCATACATTGCAAGGTCACATCAAACTGAAGGCTTCCTATTTGCGGAAGTGCAGAGATAATAGATTCTGTAACTGTTAAATGGCTGCTCAATGCACTGCATGTTACCATTGTTAAATATTACAGTTTCTTAAAATGCACATCAGTTGTGGAAATTAATCATCAGCCTCCCCACTAAATATTATCATAGCTGCATAGTTCTAGGGAATTCTTAACAACAATAATACAAATATTTAAAACAGAAGGTGTCAGTAAACGCTGTTGATAGTAATTACAAGAACAAATATCATTATAGACATAGGAAACATATTAATCAATCTCCAAAGTAAATGGTAACCTTTTATTAGCATAACTATTAGTGCTTGGTGCAGCCCTGTGAGCTGTGTTTTTTCATGTGGAATGCCTTTTATTTGTGCAGCAGCTGTGTATTCAATATGGGCGGTAGCTGGTGAAATACCTTAGGTAATAATTTTATGTGCGTACAGCCAACTTATCGTGCCCGACTACTTCCATCAACGAAAAACTGCATTTCCTGTGGTGACTGTTGGCAACTGCCATATGCATTTACCGCGTGCGCATATTTCTAGACTGTGTCGAGACAAATTGTTTGTTTATGTTTATCTGTGTTTTTTTCCAAATGGGACAATGAGAGACATTTCATTTGATTTTTACTTGCACAGGAACGGGACAAGTTTGGAGAAACCCAACTGCAGCGACGTTGTTACCTTGACTAACTAACATAACTTGAAATTCTTTTTTCCAGAACTCACAGGGCAAAGAAATAGAGAAAGACCTACTAATACATGGATGACGTGGGGAAAAAGGGGGGGGGGGGGAGAGACTGGGAGACAGAGATAAATAATATGTGACACTGAAGGAGATGTAGGAGTTAGTAAAGTACAGATGCGCTACAGAAATGCTAAAAAAAATTAACCCCCCCCCCCCTTCAAAAGACATCAACCAGGTCATTAAGAAAGAAAGAGAAAACTTTTGCATACTTAACCATGAATTACTGTACTTGTAAATAAATGCAATTCTTTCACACTGCACACATAAACTTGCTGCATCCTTTTTTGGAGGCATGGCAGTGAGACTGTTTATTCATGACCAAAACTCAGAAATCATTTAACTGTAACACATTAAAAAATATACAGTGCAGACTGTTTTTCTGTCAAACATAGAATATGTTTTTAAATGTAGAAGTACAATTCATATCGTTGAAAAATATGTTGTAATGAACATTTTTAAAACATACAATCACACACACACACCTGGTAAGGCAAATTGGCAACACAGACATCGAAAAACGGTAGGTCTGTTTTCAAAACATCACCAACCATCATTTGTAACTTCGAGGCTTCTGGGCTGTAAACACAAGACAAAAGTTATACTACAATGCACACACATAAAGCTTATATATATATATATATATATCTGTGTGTGTGGTGGTGTGTGTGTGTATATGATATATATATTTCCTGTCTGTACTTTCTCAAATAAATTCCAGATGTCCATTTAATGAGAATGAGCTGAACCCAGAGAACTACTAATAGTAGATTCTCTACTCCATAGTTGGCCCACTGTAATTAAACTAAAATTGTTTCCCAATTCTCTTGCCTAAATTTTCTCATTCAATCTGGGATAGTTATGTTGGCAGCTTTCCTCCAGCATCTCATCTCACTAAAGTAAGTGAACCTTTCATTTATAATGCCCAAGTCTGGCTCTAAAGGCAGTGTTTGCATAAATATGCTGTTTCTTGGAGGTCATATCCCAGTGCATTGGAAAATAAATAAGCAGACTGGCTGGTTTTGCACTACAAGGTGGTGTGAATGACAAGCTAGTTGTAAGGGCCCTTTGAACAGTTCATTCATTCATACATTGTACTGGTGTGTCCTCCTATGTAACAGAGGGCTTGCAATCTATTCTTTCAGTCTATTTTATCCTGTGCAATCATTTCATTCCAGTCAGCCATTCTTGGTCTCTCTCATGAACGTTCGCTTTAGGACATCCTAGTTTATTCAACACCTCTGTTTCACATTTCAGAGCCTGTCTGGTGATTCTCCGCACATTTCTTCTGAGGATGTGTGCAATTCAGTGCCATCTTCTCTGTCTCATTACTGCTGACGGCCGATGCTCTCAACACTTACGGGAATGGCAAGACGGACATATAATCAGACTGGTACTGGTACCACTGGAACTGAAACTCTGCACCTGCAGCTGAAGATGAGATGGAAAACTTATGGAAATGTCCAGAGTGCTCTGATATCAGCTTTTTTTTTTTTTTTAGCTAACCTTAACCCCTGATTTATTTTACTGTCATTTAGGAATACACTTCCTAATTATTCAAATATTTTGGTGCTTTATTAATATCCTACCCCAAACATGGGAAATTCACAGGTCACAGGGCAGTCAAATATTTCAGGGAGTGGAAGATAGGCTGCAAGCAGTCGTGGGACCTAGGCTGCACTATCTATATCAGACGTAGGTGGGTTGGGGTCAGGGCAAGTTCTAGATGTTTTGGGGTAGTTAAAAGTATCAGAAAGCCAGGAAACCCAGTCTTACCACTCTCTAAAATGTTGGACTGTCCTGTGACGTCATCTGGTTTAGAATATTAAAAAATTAAACTTGCTTGCTTCGGACAGGTCAGTGGTAAGAGTTAAGTCTCTACACTAATCTCTGGGAGATAAAAGACGTTTTCAAGTCTCAAATGACCAGAATGTCAAACAATATTTTAAATTAAAATTAAGTCTGTCAGATACACAACCAACCCTCCTCTAAGTGCATCAGGTATACATGAGCCTAGTTAAATTAATGTTAAGAAATTTAAAACTTACAATAATTAAATCACTGAAGTTTCATTTCATAAATTTAGCATCTAAGAATTTGTTTATAAACCTGAGTATGCAATGAAAGAAAATGGATATTTGTTTAACTCAAAGAGGAAAGAATCAATCTGCAATACTATTTTGACAAACTTACGTTCCTTGGACTCTTTTGTGCAGTTCAGCAACCATCCTAGGGTCAACCTCACATGCGATCACCTATAGAGGATATTTTGAAAAAATCAGAATGTACAAAGATACAGATTATGTGTATAAGAAAATGTACATTCTAGGCCCAAATATACTTCCTTATGTTCATTTCTTCCAGACAGTCATTTGCAATTCATACTTCAGATTTCCTTTATGGCAAAATTTCACATATTTCCTGTATATGTTACATTTAAATTTTGTTACCTCAATGACACTTTTCTGAATTAATTACTATTCTGTCTTACTTCAAGTTTGCTGTAAATTAACTACCCCTTTGACTTCAGAAGTTCATGTATGAAATACCTTTTTGACTTCAGAAGTTCATGTATGAAATACCTTTTTGACTTTCTCCAGAAGTTTCACAGTCATGTTTCCTGTGCCAGGGCCAACCTCTAAAACAACATCAGTTGGACGTAGGGCAGCCTGAAATTATACAGTTATAATACAAATGTCAGTGTTGCTAAATGTGAAGTCTGAATGTGTGCTTATTTTCACAATAGTTAGTGATGAATGAAAGTACAAAAAGCCTACAAACAGATAGTGCCAATTTGAAAAGTTTGAAGAAAAAAAAAAGCAGTACAGCCTGGCAGGCATTTCTTCAAAACATTACACACAAAGAAAACTGACTAGTAAACAGCATCTTGCCTTGGAAACTGAAATACTTTGGCCATATCAAATGTCACTGTTGAACTGGAAGAGAGTGGCGGAGGACATGGTGCCGGGTAAGAGGGCAGGGGTCGATTAGTACAAATACAGGCTATATAACAGTTACCTGAGGATGGGTGTACTTGAAGTGGGAGAGCTGGCAAGGGACCTAGTTTTTTTTTCGCAGCCTGACTGAGTTGAGAGCAGTGTTCTGTAGAGGACCTACACGATGATGGTTATAGTTTGTGGAGCTGAATAGTTCTACTGCACAGTTCTAATTGATATTTTTGCAAGACTTTTATTACACTGTATGCCATGTGTGTTCCGGGGCCCCATTGTGTGTGTGTGTGTGTGTGGGGGGGGGGGGGAGGAACAAAAATAGACCCACTGCCTGCCCATCAGACATGTGGTAAGAGTCGACTAATTGAGGATTTCCTTTGAAGTCAGAGTGCAACTGCCTGAGAGGCAAGGAACCAACAGTATGCATATAAATAAGTCAGATAGGTAAAAACGGATGTGCACGCATCACTCAGGGTTCTGGAACCAGTCTAAAGTCCAGAGGTGGATGAACAACCAGAACTTTTGTCAGAGTTTACAGCTGGTAAACGCGAAGAACATGATTAAATTGTTACATTACAGACGTATTTTCTTATCATATTTCAGAAAGAGTGGTACAGAAAATGAAATTACTATAATTTAGAATTGCACTCAGACCAGCATGTTATCAGATTAGTCCGTTATTTACACTACCACAAAAACAATATCAACGAACTAACAAAATGTATAAGCCTATAAGTTAAACATTCACAACTATAAAGTCTGAAAAACATACCTTTTCAATCATATTAACAACAATCAAGGGGTTTTTCAGAATGTGCTGACCGATTTCAGTCCTGAATGGTATAGCTGAGTGAAGAAATTTGATGTGCAGTTATAGACAAAAATTCACCAAACGTATTAGACTAAAAGAAAACAAATACACTAAATAAATCTTCTGTTGTGTGTTTACAGTTCCCTATTTGGCAACCAATACATGGCAAGCTTTTTCATTTAGTGACATGTCTGTAATACCTATCATGTCTTATCGACAACCACAAACCTCTGTGGGTGATTTTCTTCTGTTAAAAAAAAAAGGTTACTAAAAGTTAAAGTCGAGAAGACTGACTTTAACGTGCCAAGTTTGATGCCATATGGCTTAGTGTCTCTCCACAGAATAGCTAGCTGTCCGATGAGAGTGTCCCTCAAAGCGCAAACACTGTGACTCTGTTGATCATTCCAAGGGATCTCTTCCCCTATTTTTTTTTAGTAGAGCTCTGATTATAAAGATTCTCCAGTCATATTATTTGGACACACTTTATTACTTACTGCACAAAATAGTGATATCAGAAAACCTTAAATAATTCAGTATGGAAGCTTCACTATCATAATTCAGTGTGTAAATTAAATATTGTATAAGCCCTGCTTCCTGAAGCTATAGTAAATGCCATGATGGTTTCGGGAGAACTGTAACGGATTGCATGGTTCCTGGAAGAAACAGGGGTAGATTAACATTATGTTTGACACTGGATACCATGGACAGACACACTGGCCATGAAAGTCCACACACTAGGAAAGTTAGCACCAAGACTAGGTGGCTTTCCTGCAAGCCACGGTAGGAACAAAAGTCTGCAAAGCATCTGCTACATGATAATTATGAACATCTTATATGAGACATACTAGTAAGATAGTTTAGATACATAGTAAGATGGTTCAGTCAGTTCAGATAAGTAGTAAGATGGTTCAGTCAGTTTAAAAATGTAAGATGGTTCAGTCAGTACAGATATGTAGTAAGATGGTTCAGTCAGTTCAGATATGTAGTAAGATGGTTCAGTCAGTTCAGATATGTAGTAAGATGGTTTAGTCAGTTCAGATATGTAGTAAAATGGTCCAGTCAGTTCAGATAAGTAGTTAGATGATTCAGTCAGTTCAGATATGTAGTAAGATGATTCAGTCAGTTCAGATATGTAGTAAGATGGTTCAGTCAGTTTAGATACATAGTAATATGGTTCAGTCAGTTCAGTTATGTAGTAAGATGGTTCACTCAGTTCAGATATGTAGTTAGATGGTTCAGTCAGTTTAGATATGTAGTAAGATGGTTCAGTCAGTTTAGATATGTAGTAAGATGGTTCAGTCATTCAGATATGTAGTAAGATGGTTCAGTCAGTTTAGACATGTAGTAAGATGGTTCAGTCAGTTTAGATATGTAGTAAGATGGTTCAGTCATTCAGATATGTAGTAGGATTGTTCAGTCAGTTTAGATACATAGTAAGATGGTTCAGTCAGTTTAGATCTGTAGTAAGATGATTCAGTCAGTTTAGATACATAGTAAGATGGTTCAGTCAGTTAAGATATGTAGTAAGATATGCCAATCAACTCCTACTTAGGATGCTGAGTAAGAAGGCAATGACATGGTTGCTGCATTGGAGGATGGAGCACAAATGGGTTGGACTGATGAGCCAGGATGTCAATACAGTATACAGATAACAGTAACAAGAAATTACTAGTTCTTTTTTCAGTGTGGCTACATCTTTCAGTAGATTCTTGAGTGTTTTCATAAAATGTATTCACATTTTTAGCTTGTATGTATGTGCATACATACATACAAAGCTTTTTATGCAGGCGTAAATATCTTGGAACAACAATCACTGAAGATAGTAAACTGACCAAAGAAATTTATTTCTGATGCAGTAAAGCTGGCCAAGTATTGGGACAGCTAGTCTTCCTTTTACAGCATAAGGTAGTCCCAATCAGCACAAAGAGACATCTCATACAAAGCATATTCATTCCCACCCTATGCTAGACGTGCCAGATGTGGTCACTCACAACAAAACATTAAAGAAAATTAGTAACCATGAATGTGAGGTGTCTGAGAAAGGCTGTAGGAGATACCAGAAGAGATAAAGTCAGGAATGAAGTTATAGGAGATAAAGTCAGCACAGAACTAGTTCTAAATTACTTACAAAGACAGCAAATCAAATGGTTGGCCCACTTGGACAGAATGCCTTCTGATGCTATACCATACAAGGCATATACAAAAACAGGAGAGGGACGTAGAGCTAGAGGTAGACCAAGATATGTAAAGATATCAGAGAAACCCTACAGAACTGTGTCGGTTGTCGAAGCAGCTAGAAGAGCACAAAGACCTTATATCTCCCTCGACACCCTAAGCAGTAAAAGAGGACGTAAAGAAGAAGATGTATGTGCATCAATGATTGTACAGAGTACAGAATAGACTGGAAGGTTAAAGTAATACATAATGCACACTGTACAAGAGAATCATAACATTTAGTACCACAAAGTTAAAGCTGCCAAAGAAAAAGAGGTCTGCAGACACTGCAGAAGTGAAAATTATAGTGGAATAATCATTGTTAGAATACAAAATGCACGACCTCGCAAAGACAAGTATTTTTTAAACTAACTAAACTAAAAAAGTTTTTTTTTTTAAAAAGATAACCTGAAACAAGAAATGGGGTGTGACAGATAATTTTCTTGAATCTTCTTTTTTTTAAATTATTATAATTTAGATAGTATTCAGTGCAACAGGATTAAATGATTATTATCATTATATTATAAAAACATCAACAAGTACCACAAGAAACTGAAATGGAATTACTACTGCTAGAGTGATCCAGACTGAGACTTCGTGGACTAAAAATTCAAACGGGACTTCTCTAAATAATGGCCCTAAATTATCTAGGCCAAACCCAAACAATTGAAGGGTTATAGGTGCAACTCAAACAGAAGCAACATTGTTGTTACCAAAGCGGGACTAGTCACGTGTTGTTTACTATTATTAATACATATGATTTAGTGGAGTTTCATTGGTGGCACAGTCACAAAGACCATAATTTGGACAGTATTATTTACAACTGTTGTGAAACAATTTCAAGATTTAAATAACTGTTTCCTATTATAATAATAGGTAAGTATGTCATAATATTGATAAATATGCTTTATACAGTTCTCCTCCAAACTTCTACCCCTGCAGTATGGCAGCCTGAAATATCCATTCGGGGCTCAGTTCTATTAAAAATATGCCGGCTCCATATAACGAAACAAATGCTCTAACAGTGTCTCAGCGATATGTTACTTGCGGACCTGTTTCTTATTGTTTCTGAATACCTGACGCAACACTGCAGACGATGGTAGCGACCGTTGACACTTTCCATTGACGGACTTTCTGCCGACGAACAAATCGCTGCAAATCTAGGATCGGCTCGGAAAAACTAAACAAATGCTCTAACAGGGTCTCAGCGATATGTTACTTGCGGACCTGTTTCTGTGACTATGCCTCACCGCCGAAAGTATCCCACGCGCCGCTATGCGCGGATAGGGGCTAAACTAGATGGTTGGGACTCACGAGCAGCAGCTACCGCATCTCCTGCAACTTCCTCCAATTACTTTGCTCGTGAGTCCCAGGCACCTAGTTTAACCCCTCATCCGCGCCGCACATAGCGGCGCGGGGATACTTTCGGCGGTGAGTTTAATCACATTTTGCGCATGCCGACAAGTCTGACTTCTACCGCTTCTAAATCCTCAATCAGAAGAACAGTATTGCTAATCTGCGTGGGAGCGCGTGGTCTACCCTCCATATCGCTTTCATCGTCTGTAATGTCTCGAAATTGTCAATGGTCGCTTTTATCGTCTGCTAGTAATACTAGTAGTATCGTCTGCAGAAAAGCTTGACATTGTCACCGGTCGCTTTTATCGTCTGCTACTAATTACTATCGTCTGCAATGTTGCGTCTCTTAAAATTGTCAAGTAATCCTAGTTTTGCCGTGATTTGTTCCTTGGCAGAAAGTCCACATTTTTCATTGGACCGAGCCCCGAACTGATATTTCAGGCCGACATACTGCGGGGGTAGAAGTTCGGAGGAGAGCCCTTTATACTATAATACTTAATTACTTACGTTAATGGGCAGATAATTTATTAATTTAGTCTAAACTGTTTATAGGCATACAGATAAAATCAGAATAAATTAATAAATCAAGGAAAGTAAACAAAATCAGGAAATCTCCGTGATTTGATTGATGATGATGATAATTACATATAATATTTCATTATTTCTTTCTTTCGGCTTAGGGGTAAAAATTTATTTGTTTTAAATACTAAATTAGTGACAGTCATTATACTTACACTCACAAGCTGTTACACTCAAGATTTGTGACAGAGTGCAGTGATGGTTATGTATGAGTATGAGTTGGTATAGTATGACTACTAGTATGACAGTCAGAATCAATTGTAACAATCCATTTGTAACAAGTGTTTACCTTGTCTGGGTACCTTGTGCTACTTGCTGGTGAATCCTCGACCTTTTCTGTGGTCTTTCTTTAGGCATTGTGATTGTGAACTAAAAATCCAAGACTAAATTTAAAAGTACGATATGTTCTCCGTGAATACAACAGCAACAGCGATGTAAATATTAATTATCAACATCAACATGTGCTAGCAAGGGCGAGTAACTCTTCTAAATACAATTCCTAAGAACGACAATCTATACTGGCTATTAAAACCGCTGCCGAAAGGCTAAGCTTGTAAAAGTATTTCAGCACCTAACAGTTGAACGGAGTTTCTGGGACCTGTGCCCGAGTGATCATATTAGTGGCCCTTTGTGTCGCTGGATGTTGGTCGCTCGTTGTGTGGTCCTAGTAGGGTTGAATGGTGGCAATGTTAAATTTGTTAGCCAAATACTTGTTCGAATTTATCGATTTCTCAACGTTTGATTTGTCTAGGAAACAATTACATAATTGCATTCTAGTTTACAGAAATGTTAAGATACATTCTTAGATTACAGTACTTTGAAATTGCGTTCTATGATCGCTTAACATACAGTGTTTTAGCTATACATTCCTTTCAATTATACACACGTGTTCGAGCTAGTTTATGAAGCCAAAGAACAACTGGTCTAAGGTCTGAATCAGTGCATTTGGAATAGCCTTGGAATTTGAAAGCATTTAGCGTAAAAGACATGAGTGCTGCATCTGTAAGAAAAATCTTTTCTCGCCTACAACATGAGACAGGAACAGAGTTTGTCAATAAGTATTACCCACGTTCGCTGTTGAGTAGTTACGAGATACATTGTACAGACAAAGCAAAAGTATAAATCTACTGCGGTGGGTTGAAGTACAATCTCATTAAAACAGAGATCTGTACTACGTACTTCAGCATCATAAACATAGATTTCAGAACCTAGCCTTGGGACGATTAAAAAGAAGCAGCTTTATACATCAAGCAAAAAGAATATGTAGACAAACTGTTGACCTTCCAGAAATTGGTCGTCCACTTAAAAGTATTCCAGAACAGACCCCATGGAGAGAAAAATGCAAACTAACGGTACAAATCCAGACAAATGTACAAGGAATATTTGACAAGAAAGAGCAAGAGAGTGTAAAACGCAGAATGGCCACCCCCAGTTTTATTGATGAAGAATACCCACAAGAACAATGGATCAGAGTCTATACAGATGGGTCCCCACAAAGCGCAGTTAGAAATGGTGGTGCTGGAGTGTACATAGAATTCCCAGATGGTACTGCCATAACTATGATGCAGAAACTCAGGCTATCAATATAGCAACAGAGAAACTACTAAATACCAATCTTGGCTCACAGTATTCGGTAATGCTGACAGATGCAAAATCAGTACTTGAAGCACTCCAGTCTAGGAAACTACCAGAATTGCAAACACTGCTGATTATCTTAGCCTTCAGCGAAGAATCGAAATGCAATGGATACAGTCACATTGTGGAGTGTCTGGAAATAATAAAGTTGATAAACTGGTAGGAGAAGGTGCGACAAAAGTTCAGCCGGATGTACCAGTCACATATCACCAAAAGAAAAGAATCGATCAGGAAACCACCACCCCAGTACAAGATGACTATTTTATTATGGTCAGATCATAACAAGTCATTATCCTCCGCCTCAGAACAGGGCACAACCGATTACGTAACCACACGTACACAAAATTCAAGATAGGTGTATCAGCCATGTGCACCCGTGGAAAGGTGCCCCAGACAGCAGAGCATGTGCTCCAGGACAGCACCGAATTTGACACATTATGGCAAACCTTTTGGCCAGAAAGAATAACAGTGGAATGTAAACTCTATGGACCACTGAATTAACTAAAAACGACTATGAAATTTATACAAGAGACAAAATTGCTGATATAGACAACTTATTTCAGGCGAACGAAAGAAGAAGAAGAATCATAAACAGTTCTGATGCCCATAACTGTAGTTTTGTCAGTATGTTTTTTGTGGTGGTAATTTCTATGAGCCAGTATTATTACATCACGAATCAATGACATTAACAACAACAAAACATAACATAAATAACTACACAATACCCATATTGTAATACATAATATAATAATTTAAAAATATTAAAAAAATTATTCGTTTTAAATGGGACATCGTAACACATAAACACCATGTGATAGGCTGGAAAACTTTACAGCAGTTCAACGATTTAATTTAATCTGGTTTAAAACTAACCAAGAGACCACATGAACAGCTTTTATTTTAAGACAGTAAAAAGCTGAAAAATCTGGCCACTGTGTATCAAAAGGAACTGACTGAGTATTTGCCTTCTATTTGTCTTCCGAACGCACCCTGAGGAGACCTATCCGGCTGTTGTAGGTCTGCACTTAGGGCTCGCCAGTATGGGTGTGGTCGACTACAGGGGAAGGCCAGTTGTCTGACGGATTTCCCTGGCTGATCTCACGGTACGTTTCAATTGGTTAGGTGGTGGTAGATTTGATTTCCATTGTATATCCTAGCTAAGAGAAAGTTTGATGGCAGGTCGCTATAAGTGATTTGTTGGTCTGCTAGTAGCTGTCAGTATTTTGTTATTCGTTGGTTTACTAGTTGCTTGGTTAGTTTTCTGCTAGTCCGCTCGTATACCTTCAGTTAGTTCTTTAGTATACTTAGTGTTCGGGGTGTGTCATCAAGTATTATTGTTATATGTCCTCAAGTAAATAAAGTTTCTGTATTTGTCGACTTGCATCCTCGTTATTTTAGTTAGTGTGCCTAGGTTTTATTGTTACATTATATTAGACCCCACACAATAGATTTCCTGTCAGGGTGAGATATTTTTGATCTTACCCCTACCTAAACGAACTTTTTTTCTTTTCTTGTTACTGAGGCAGCAAAAGGTTGGGTTTATACTCCCACTCGCCACGTCACATTGTTAGAGCTATTGTAGGTTCGGAGTTAAGGGGATTTCAAGGAGTAGATTTCCATATTATCCTTTATAGTTATCTCTTCTCTTTCCTCCATTACAAGATACCCCCTCTGCTTTGCTTCTAGTACAATAATATAGCAACCAACAGTCGAAAAAGACTGCCGAAAACCACAAAATGGAACGTCAAGCTAATACACAAACCAATAAATTGTTATTTTTGTATCATTGCTAAACACCATGAAAAGAACCTGCTTCTGATGATCACAAACATGCATTCCACCGTGTGGGTGGTTAACTGTATTCACTTCCTTGTGTGTTGCTCTCTCCAAATGAGACGAAGGCATCTCATTATATAGTGAGATTGAATGATTATGAGTACAAAGATAAATGACGAAAAGTCATTGAGCAGCTGAACGGCAGATAGGAGACACGCTCAAAAAGGGATTTGTTACACTGTATTCGATAGCTTGTTCTTATTGCTGTTTCCATGCTGCTCGGCTGGTCGGTGCACCAAAATGAATAAAATAACACCATCTTGGTAGATTCCCAAGGTGTCCGCGCTGATGTCAACAGACTATAAGAGTAGCCTTCATTAAGAAAGCGTCATTATATTATGTTTCGGGGTGGTCTGACGGATCTTTTTCTATGCTGTAATTCGTCAGGGAAATGTCACATACCAGCGGAATACTCCTATGCTTATTGACTTGCCCGCATCTTGTACCCCCCTATGTAAATTAGTTAGTTTCAGATATGGACTCTTATTCCATGTGTATATAGTCCTTCTTTGATAAGTATCGGTCAAGATGTCGGAACAAATACTCAATTCGTTCGTAATTCTGTCCGTCGGCCTAAAGGTCATGGATTCAAATAGGCATCCTGTCGGATTTTTATCCTCTTTAAACTGACTTTGGCTCACAGAAATACCAAGCCTAAAATGAGTATGAGGTCATACCACCTTTCAACGAGTGCCAAAAGGTGTATAAAATATAGGTCTATTGTCATTTGTTTTAGGCGCCGCTGCCGTAAAGGGTGAATTACTTTACTTTACTCTGCTTCGCCTTTCTTTACTTACTATACGACCCTGGGACGAAGGACGATAGTCAAGACAACACAAGAGTCACACTATGAGACAATTACGACACACACACACACACACACACACACACACACACACACACATACATATATATATATATATATATATATATATATATATATATATATATATATATATATATCCATGGAGAACGAAATATATGTTAATGAGGAAAGATTGGAAGTGGTGGAAAATTTCGAATATCTTGGGTCACTGGTTACCAACAATGGTGACACAATGAAAGAAATTAAACGGCGACTATCAATTGCTCTTCAAAGACTAAAACAACTGAATAAATTATGGAATTGTACAGATAGAATAACAAAGGTCAGATTTTTAAGAGCATGCATCTTTCCCATTGCAACATACGCCTGTGAGACCTGGACACTTACTAAACAAGCGGAACAGCGCATAAATGCATTTGAATATAAATGTTACAGACAGGTTCTAAGAATATCTTGGGTAAAGAAAAGAACAAATGCATCCATACTTCAAGAGCTGAATATTGAAGAGGGTTGGCTAGTAAAGACAATAAAACAAAGAAAATTGAAATATTTTGGTCACTTGAAACGTCATGGAAGTCTAGAGAGAACAATAATGGAGGGGTATATGCCTGGGAAGAGAGGAAGAGGAAGGCCAAGGAGAAGATGGGTGCAGGATGTGGCAGATGATCTCCAGATGGGTGTATCAGACGCAGGACATCTTGCTCAGGATAGGAAGGTTTTCCGGAGGGTTGTTATGGCAGCGAGGTTCCGCGAGGGACATGCTACTGAATGGAATGGATATATATATATATATATATATATATATATATATATATATATATATATATATATATATATATATATATATATATATATATATATACTAGCTGTGCCATGCCACGCGTTGCTGTGGCCCCGAATGGTTAAATGGAAAAGAAATAAAGTAGCTCTCAGCTACTGTCATAACCCTCACCCCCTTCCCTCTACCCTTCACCTAGTCATGTCTCCCTCTCCGAAGTATTGAAAAATCATCCCTGGCGAAAGTATTAAAATATAAATAGTTAGGAAATGATAAATTTAA